ATTGTTTGCATCACGACGTGAATTACACGATGAGCTCGTATCATATAAATGCGATTTATTCGTACACGTCAATATCTGTGTAATGGCTAAAAGCTTGAGAGAATAAACACGAATTAGTCTATTCGTTTATATGAACAAAATATTTTTTTTTGTTCAATATTGCTAATTCTTTTTTTCTGTTTGATTTGACCATCGATTGAAATATATCGGGTTCTAATGAAGAGAGATATATGAGTGAGATATGTTGTATGAATAACATTACGTAATGCATTTATCTAAAGTGTCTAAAGCGTCGTATCATGAACGATATTATGTGGTGAGATGTTTGAATACAAAGAATAGAATACAAAGGGGTGATTGTTTAAGGATGTAAGAAGGGCTTCATTAGATTCTACAGTCTTACATATACACACTACTATTTTGAAATTTCTAAATTCGAGAGTTTTCCAAGTCAATGTTGAGACTGTAAGTCGCTGACTTTTTCTTTCATCTAAAGATATATTCAAGACAAATATCGATCAACCTAATTTATTATTGATTAGCTCTTTAACATAATAATAATTTTTTTGCCCAGAGGATTAAAATTTATTGATACATATGACAGTGTTTTAATGAAACTACAAAAGAAGAAATAGTCAATCTTGCAACATGCTACGCTATATGTAAGATTTTCTTGGAACTGGCTTTTGTCACAGAGTACTCCCTTGCATCCAACGATACGATTATCGATGGAGAGTTCTGTAAGAATTATTTTTCTCAGTGTACTCTTTAATTTTAATTTTCGAGCTACTGCCGAGTAACGAGTTGATGAAAAAATCCTCGTCGAACTAAACGTTAAGAAAATGAAGTCAACGAGCAGATCACTCCTTGAAGTATTATCACTCGATCGAATTCTCGGTACCACGAAGAGGTCGACTTTATTTTGAAACAAAAAGCCTGCCAACGTTTGTATACAACGTAACGAGACGAAGATAATACACGTATTTATTTCGAAGAAATGGCGTTACCTCCAACGAATCAACGTTGAATCATTTACTAAAACTTCAAAATTTACTTCCTCTGGAGTAGAAAATTTGTATCGAGACAAAACGTTAGCTCGAGGGAAAACATTCTGAAAGAACGAAAAGTTAAAATGCAAGTTGGAAGAATCATGTTGGACGCGTGATATCGCAATGCGAATCGCGTTTAACAGCTTTCATCCAGTTGATTCTCGTTTAATTAGGGACTCAAGAACATCGCGTCTTGACTCATTACGTCCGTGATTAACGCTAAAATTATCCGAACGGTTAGGACGATACGATTCATTCATTTTACAAAAATTTTATAGATTATAATACTATAGTGTGCGCAAAAATTGTTCTCCGACGTATTTTTATTGGACGTGTTATGTATTACATTATACAAAGAAAAAAAATTATTAATTAATAGTAGCTATTTACTCCAATTTAAATTCTAACAACTAATCATTGTTACAAACAAGTCAGCTAGTTCTACGAACGAATAAAATGCTAAAATAAGATGAAAACTAGCAAAATAAAATGAAATTTTGAATACGTAGATGTGTAACTTTTATGTTACGTGATGTTATCCTGTGATAGGTGCAATAGTGAGCAAATACTTCCTGTAGCAAGTATATTGTCAAGAATTTATATAATCTTTTGTAAAATGTAGGTGAACGGAGGTTTCCACCTTTTCGATATTCCCTCATGAATCTTTCATTTTGATTTTTCTCGATACGAGTTTATACCATTCAACACAGTTCTAAAGTTAAATCACGGCAAGAACGAGGATTACGACACACGTGAAATATGTGTGATTATAAATCTATAATCTAACGCACATATAATACGCTTTAATTGCAGCAGACAATAGCAATAATAACATTATCGCTGCGAATTAAATTCAAATTAACCGAGAGCAGCGCTTGTCAATAGCAATTAAATCAAAATAATTATTCGAGCGCCGAAATGGACGCAATTATTAACTAGATTTTCAAATTGATGAGCAGATATTAATTCTCTGACGGGCAGAAAGGAGTGTTAGTTGGAATTTAGTTAGCTAGTTCGCATAGGAGCACTCATAATATTTAAATTTAAAATCAGGTGGTAAATTTTGATTCGTGAAGA